TGGAATAGGTTCCAGGCCCTCTCGAGGCTATCCTTTATTTTCTATCTGTTTATCTCCACAAGATTCTCCGCTATAAATCCTTCTATCTAATATTTCCTGCTGACCACACTCAAGAAAACTCTGGGAAGCTGTGGGGGTGGTGGGTAAACGCCCCACAACTATACACATTGGAACTCTCTTTGGGAATGGATGAGCATTATCAAAACTCCAAATCCTCACCACATGAGCTGTCACTTGTTTTATTGATCTTAGCCATTCTTATGGGTATAAGATGAAATCTCAAAATAGTTTTGATTTGCGTTTCCCAGATGGATAAAGATGTTGAACATTTCTGTACATATTTTCACAGGAAACTCAAAAGAGTTTTCACTTTGAGAATACTCTGTTTAATCTCTACTCCAGTTTTTAATTGTGCTATTGGTTTTCTAGAGGTCCAGGTTTTAGAGTTCTTTATAGGTTTTGAATATATAGTTAGTCCTCTATTGGGTGTGGAGTTGGTAAAATGTTTTTCCATTCTGTAAGCTACTGCTTTGTCCAAATGATGGTGTCCTTTGCCATGTAAAACTTTTCAGTCTCAGGAGGTTCCGTTAATTAATTGTTGATCTTAGTGCCTGTGCTATCAGGCACTAATTTGTCTGATTCCAAGTTGTTGCCTCAGACAGCCTACATCAGATCGTTGATATTCATTGTTCTAATCTGTCCATTCCCAGGATTTAGAGTGGAGAGAACTTTTTGCTGTCCTGAAGGCATCCCTTTCCAGAGTCATGCAGTCAGTACAACATACAACCCAGTATTCTCCTGATCATTTTTTCTTCTTCTGGGCCACAGCGCAATGCTTGAAACTGACCCCAAATAAACCTCTTACACGTGGTTTTGCCTTTTCAGCTCTGCAATGTGTTGTGTGTACAAAACATTCATCTGCCAAGAGTTGTGAGTCATCAAAAGAAACCTGTGAAGCAAAAATAGACCAGGAGTGTTTCCTAGTGACAGTCTCTACAGGTAACTGAGGATTTATTCAGAGTGCTTGCACTCGAGGAATTCATGGGCAGAGACTGAGAGTGTGGGCGATTGTGTTTCTGTATAAAGTAGGAAAGGGCTGGCCTGCTTCCGGTATTGCTTGCCAATAATGATAGTTCAAATAAATAAATCAATTAAGATGAACAATAATTTTTGAAGGCTTTCTTTTTCTTTACATTTTTTAAAATTCATTTTACCTACCAACCACAAATTCCCCTCTCATCCCTCCTCCCGCTTTCCCCAGCACTACCTTTTCCTCCCCCAACCCCTCCTGCCCTCTTCAGACAGGGTAAATTCTCCCATGGGGGCACAGCTAAGCCTGGTACATTCAGTTGAGGCAAGATCAAGTCCCTTCCCACTTCATTAGGGGTGAGCAAGGTGTCAGATCATACATAATGGAATCCAGAAAGCCAGCTCATGCACCAGGGATAGATCCTGATCACAGTGCCAGGGGCCCCTCAAACAGACCCAGCTACACAACTGCTCCTGTATGCAGAGGGTCTAGTTTGGTCCCATGCAGGTTCCACAGCTGTTGGTCTGAAGTTCGTTAGTTCCTATGAGCTTGGTTCAGTTGTTTCTGTAGATTTTTCCCATCATGATCTTGACCCCCCCCCCCCTCCACCGCTCATATAATCCCTCTTCCCATTCTCTCTTTGATTGGACTACTCCCAGAGCTCAGCCTGGTGCTTTTTTGTGGATCTCTGCATTTGCTTCCACCAGTTACTGGATGAAGGCTCTATGATGACAAGTTAGGGTATTCACCAATTTGATGACCAGGGTAGGCCAGTTCAGGCACCCTCTCCATTATTGCTAGTAGTCTAATCTGGGGTCATCCTTGTGGACTCCTGGGAATCTCCCAAGCACCAGGTTTCTCCCTTACCCCATAATGTCTCCCTCTATCAAGATATCATTTTCATTGCTCTCCCACTCCATATGTCCCCCAGCACAACCACCTGTTCCCTCATGTTCTTATTTCCCATTCCCTACCCTCGAATGCCTCCCCATCCCCAGTTTACTCATGTGGATCTCCTCTGCTTCCCCTTCCCTAGGTGATCTGTACATCCCTTTTAGGGTCCTCCTTGTTTCCTAGATTCTCTGGAATTGTAGGTTGTAGTCTGGTTATCCTTTGCTTTACATATAGTATCCACTTGGCATGAGTATATACCATGTTTGTCTTTCTGAGTCTGGATTACCTCACCCAGGGTGATATTTTCAAATTTCACCATTTGCCTGCAAATTTCTTTTTCTTACTTTTATTTTATAGTTTGAAGATTTTGCTGATTTCTTTTTTTCATTTTTCTTTATTAAGAAATTTTCTACTCACTCCACAGATCCCCCTCCTCCCTCCTCCCACCCCCAGCCCTCTTTCCCAGGCCACGACACATCCCCACATCCCCCAAATCGAGGTTTCCCATGGGGAGTCAGCAGAGCCCAGCACACTGAGTCTAGGCAGGTCCAAGCTCCTTCCCACTGCACCAAGGCTGTGCAAGGTGTTAACACCACAGGTACTGGATTCCCAGAAGCCTGCTTATAGACCAGGGACAGATCCCGATCCCACTGTCTGGGTATCCCCTAAACAGTTTGAGCCAAACAATTGTCTTCTGTATCCAGAGGGCCTAGTCCAGTCCCATGGGGGCTCCACAGCCACCAGTTCACAGTTCATGGGATTCCACTAGTGTTTGCCTGCAAATTTCATGATGTCATTTTTTTTTTTTTTTTTTTTACAGCTTGGTAATACTCCACTGTGTATATGTAGCACATTTTCGTTTTCCATTTTTCAGTTGAAGGGTTCTAGGTTTCTTCCAGGTTCTGGCTATTACAAATAATGCTGCTATGAACATAGTTGAGCATGTGTCCTTGTAGTATGATTGAGCACCCCTTGAGTATATGCCCAAGAGTGGTATCACTGGATCTTGCAGTAGATTGATTCTCAATTTTCTGAGAAACTGCCATACTGATTTCCAAAGTGGCTGTAAAATTTGCACTATCACTAACAATGGAGGAGTGTTCTTGATGATCCTCAGGTATTCATAGGTAAATATAATCATGGATGAAGGGATTTATACACTAAAATTCTAGTCAGCACCTTCGTGAATGCAGTACTCTCCATGTGAAAAATTAACAGAAGAATGATTGACCATTTTCCAGGGATCCTGTATGTTCTCATTGACGAAGTTATGATTCATTCCAAAATAATTATTTTTTCCCTTTTGCCTTTCTTCCTCTGCAGGTAAACATCATCTTAAAATTCGGAAATGTAGTAGTAACTGCACAAATGCTATTCCAAATCAATCCCAACATGCATGCTGCGATTCGCATTCTTTGTGTAAGAAGCTACAAGGCATCGTCCTTTCTTGGCCTGTTCTACTTAGGTAAGCCCTTATCCCTTCCCTGGCCTCTTGTAGCCTCACAACACTGGACCATCAATGTCCAGTGCTGCCAAGACCCTGACACCTGTCTTTACTTAGCATCAGGTGTTGACATTTTGACAGTTGAATTCTCTCCATTTCTAGGACTCTGATTTCTTTCCTTTCCCCCTCCATCCTTTCAGCATTGACTGACATGTAACACACCCTCCCTCTCCTCTCTTGATTGTTACCTTCTTACAACATCTGTCCTAACTGATAAATGCTGTGGTTAGGGGCTGGTTTCCCTGTGACTATGACAGCCCCGACACCTACCATTAGTGAAGCTTCACTTCAGTGATGCCTTTTCTGCCAGGCTGGCCAGCAAACAAGACCTCCAGCATCTTACTCTGTTCTTCTTCGGAGAATATAGGGCATATATAATGACGTTTCTCACTGCTGTGACCTGAGTAAAACAATGGAAGGATGGAGGATTCATTTTATCTCTTGATTTCAGAGGTTTCCTCCATCATGGTGGGAGGATGCAGTAGAACAGAGCTTTTAAACTCATGGCCTGTGGGAAGCACAGCGGAGTAAAATAGGAAGAAATCAAGAAAAGATAACAGCACCCAAGGAAACAGCCCTGGTTACCTACTTCCTCCAACCAGACTCCTCAAGAAAATTTTCCCATGTTTTAACATTCTGTAAAATGTTAAAATGCATTGTTAGATCAGAGACCTCACATGCTAATCATCTCAGGAAATGTCCTCACAGACACACTCAGAGGTGTGGAATCCCTCAGACATCCTCACTGCCATAGGGTGACTAGGGTGAGACATCCTGGGTGAAGGAGCTCCTGCAGCACAGTGTCCATCTCCACTCTCTGTTCACTCACACATGTGCTTCATTGTCCTTCTGGAAAGCTCTGCTCCTCAGCTTTACTTTAGTACATTCCATAGTTTTTGAAGTTGGGGTTGTTTGGGATGTTTATTTTTCTAATTTCCATAGATTTTATGCTCAGCTTAGAAAATGTAGGCCTTGCTGTCTAGAGGAAACACTGCTAGTGATCCCATCCTCAAGACAGAGCTTCTTACACTGTCAGTGGACATTTCAAAGCCTTAGAAACATGAATAGGTCATGACATGTGTTTGTATATTTAAACACAATTATATATTACAAATATTGGAAATCATTTTTTTTTTCAGAGCTGTTCATTGAGTCCTGGAACATGTCATCAAGCCTTCTCCTGTTGAATCATACCTCCAGCCTCAGACCCTGATGTCTACATAGCATTCATTGGATACTGTTCCTATTCTACCTGCATACATTTATTTTACATTGGATGTTGTGTAAAACATTGTATGCCTTATGAAATTGATTTCACTGTTCAGTATGTGTTCTTAGATTCTGTTCAATTAAATTTATTTTACCCTTATTTATTCATGTGTGAGAATGTTCCCATTCACCTGCCCATGTGTAGAGTTCCCAAGAGAAGTTCTAGGAGCTAATGCACCCCTTCCACCATGTTAGTTCTGAGAAACTGACACTAGGTGGTCAAGCTTAGAAAGTAGTTCACTTACACATTGAATCATCTCATCAGCCCTCAGTTTTTAAAGCCTGTCAGAATGGCTAAGATCGAAAACATTGAAGACACCTTATGCTGGAGAGGATGTGGAACTAGGGGAACTCTCCTCCACTGCTGGTGGAAATGCAAGCTTGTACAACCACTTTGGAAATCAATATGGCACTTTCTTAGAAAATTGGGAATCTATCTCCCCCAAGATCCAGCTATACCACTCTTGGGCATATACCCAAGTAATGGTCAATTATACCACAAGGGCACTTGCTCAGCTATGTTCATATCAGCATTGTTTGTAATAGTCAGAACCTGGAAACAACCTAGATGCCCTTCAACTAAAGAATGGATAAATAAAATGTGGCACATATACACAATGGAATACTACTCAGCAGAGAAAAACAATGACATCATGAGGTTTGCAGGCAAATGGATGGATCTAGAAAAAATCATCCTGAGTGAGGTAACCCAGACTCATAAAGACAAACATGGTATGTACTCACTCATAGGAGGATACTAGATGTAAAACAAAGATGACTAGACTGCTACTCACAACCCCAGGGAGGCTACCTAGAAAACAGGATCCTAAGAAAGACACAGGGATCACCCAATGACAGAGAATGGATGAGTTCTTCATGAACAACATGGACATGAGTGGGGGTAATGAAGGGCAAGGGTTGAGGAAAAGAGAGCTTAGGGGAGCGGGAGATCCCAGCTGGATCAAGAACAGAGAGGGAGAACAAGAAATAAAAGACCATGATGAATGAAGACCACATGAGAATAGGAAGAAGTAAAGTGCTAGAGAGGCCCACAGAAATCCACAAAGATACCCCCACAATAGACTGCTGGCAAAGGTCAAGAGACAGCCTGAACTGACCTACTCTGGTGATAGGGTGGCCATACACCCTAATTGTTGTGCTAGAAACCCCATCCAATGACTGAGGGAACCGGATGCAGAGATCCATGGCCAGGCCCCAGGTGGAGCTCCAGGAGTCCAGTTGGTGAGAAAGAGGAGGGTTTGTGTGAGCGAGAACTGTTGAGACCAAGGTTGGATAAAGCACAGGGACAAATAGCCAAACAAATGGAAACACATGAACTATGAACCAATAGCTGAGGAGTCCCCAACTGGATCAGGCCCTCTGGATAAGTTTGAGACAGTTGATTAGCTTGATCTGTTTGGGAGGCATCCAGGTAGTGGAACCGGGTCCTGTACTCAGTGCATGAGTTGGCTGTTTTACCTGGGGCTTATGCAGGGAAACTTGGCTCAGCTTGGGAGGAGGGGACTAGACCTGCCTGGACTGAGTCTACCAGGTTGAACTCAATCCTCAGGGGAGTCTTTGCCCTGGAGGAGATGGGAATGGGGGGAATGTGGAGGGGGGGTTGGGTGGGGAGTGGGAAGTTGGAGAACAAGGGAATCTGTGGATGATATGTAAAATTAAATTAAATTATAAAATAAGATAAAATAAAACAAAAAACACAGAATTCACAATTAAAAAAAAAGAAGCAAGCTGGTGTAGCCATCCTAATATCCAACAAAATAGACTTCAAACTAAAATCAGTCAAAAGAGATCAAGAAGAACATTACATACTCATCACAGGAAATCCATCAGGATGAAGTTTCAATTCTGGACATTTATGCTCCAAACACAAAAGTACCCACATATGTAAAAGAAACATTACTAAAGCTTAAATCACACATAACACTCCACACATTAATAGTGGGAGATTTCAACACCCCACTCTCACCACTGGACAGATTTGTCAAATTGAAAGTTATCAGAGAAATAAGGGACTTAACTGATGTTATGACTCAATTGATATCAATAGAACATTCCATCCTAACAAAAAAGAATATACCTTCTTCTCAGCACCCCATGGACTCTTCACTAAAATCGACCACATACTTGGCCACAAAGCAAATCTCAACAGATACAAAACAATTGGAATAACCTTCTGCATTCTATCAGACCATCATGGTTTAAAGTTAGATTTCAACAACAACAAAAATTACAGAAAGCCTACAATCCCATGGAAACTGAATAATGCTCAACTGAATCACCAACAGGTCAAGAAAGAAATAAAGAAAGAAATTAAAGACTTCCGAGAGATCAACGAAAATGAAGATACCACATACCCAAACTTATGGGACACTATGATATCAGTGCTCAGAGGGAAATTCATAGCACTAAATGCCCACATAAAGAAGTTGGAGAAATCTCACACTAGTGACTTAACAGCACACCTGAAAGCTCTAGAACAAGAAGAAGCAAAGTCACCCAGGAAGAATAGATGCCAGGAAATAATCAAATTGATAGCTGAAATGAATGAAATAGAAATAAAGAGAACAATACAAAGAATCAATGAAACAAAGAGTTGGTTTTTTGAGAAAATCAACAAGATAGATAAGCCCTTATCCAAAAAAGGCAGAGAGAGAGAGAGAGAGAGAGAGAGAGAGAGAGAGAGAGAGACCGCATCCAAATTAGCAAAATCAGAAATGAAAGGAAGACAAAACACCTAAGAATGAGGAAATCCAGAGAAATATCAGGTCATACTTCAAAAACCTGTACTCCACAAAACTGAAAAATCTAAAAGAAATGGATAATTTTCTGGATAGGTACCACATACCTAAGTAAAACCAAGACCAGATAAACTATTTAAATAGACCAACAACCCCTAAGGAAATAGAAACAGTCCTTAAAAGTCTCCCAACCAAAAAAAGCCCAGGGCCAGATTGTTTCAAGAAGAATTCTACCAGATCTTCAAAGAAGAGATAATACCAATACTCTTTAAATTGTTCTACACAAAAGAAACAGGAGGAACATTACCAAACTCCTTCTATAATCCTGCAATTACCCAGATTCCCAAGCCAAACAAAGATGCAACAAAGAAAGGGAATTACAGACTAATCTCCCTCATGAACATTGATGTAAAAATACGCAATAAAATATTGTCAAACAGACTCCAATAACACATATACAAATATCCACCATGATCATCCCAGAGATGCAAGGTTGGTTCAACATATGAAAGTCTGTCGGGGCTAGAGAGGTGGCTCAGTGGTTAAGAGCAACGCCTGTTCTTCCAGAGGTCCTGAGTTCAATTCCCAGCACCCACATGGTGGCTCACAACCATCTGTAATGAGATCTGGTGACCTCTAATGACCTGCAGTCATACATGCTGTATACATAACAAATAAATAAATCTTAAAAAAAAAGAAAGTCTGTCGATGTAATGCACCATATAAACAAACTCTAAGAAAAAAAAACCACATGATCATCTCACTAGATGCAGAAAAGGCATTTGACAAAATCCAATACCCCTTCATGACAAAGGTCTTGGAGAGATCAGGAATACAGGGAACTTAACTAAACATAATAATGGCAATTTACAGCAAGCCAACAGCCAACATCAAACTAAATGGAGAGAAACTCAAAGCGATTCCACTAAAATCAGGAACAAGGCAAGGCTGTCTGCTCTCCCCATACTTATTCAATATAGTACTTGAAGTTCTAGCCAGAGCAATAAGAACACAAGGAGATCAAGGGGATACAAATTGGAAAGGAAGAAGTGAAGCTTTCACTATTTGCAGATGACATGATAGTATACATAAGTGACCCCAAAAATCTGACCAAGGAACTCATAAAGCTTATAAACACCTTTAGTAATGTGGCAGGATACAAGATTAACTAAAAAAAATCAGGATCTCTCCTATATACAAATGACAAACGGGCTGAAAAAGAAATCAGAGAAACATCACCCTTTACAATAGCCAAAAATAATATAAAATACCTTGGGGTAACTCTAACTAAGCAAGTGAAGGACCTGTGTGACAAGAACTTTAAGTCCCTGAAGAAAAAATTGAAGAAGATGTCAGAAAATGGAAAGATCTCCCCTGCTCATGGATAGGCAGGATTAACATAGTAAAAATGGCAATCTTACCAAAAGCAATCTACAGATTCAATGCAATCCCCATCAAAATCCCAACACAATTCTTCACAGACCTGGAAAGAACAATATTCAACTTCATATGGAGAAAAAAAAGCCCAGGAATAGCTGAAATAATCCTGTACAATGAAACAACCCTTGGAGGCATCAATATCCCTAATTTCAAGCTCTACTATAGAGCTACAGTATTAAAAACAGCTTGGTACTGGCATATGAACCAACATGTGGACCAATGCAATGAAATTGAAGACCCTGACATTAATCCACACACATATGAACACCTAATTTTTGGCAAAGAAGCCAAAACTGTAAAATGGAAAAAAGAAAGCATCTTCAACAAATGGTGCTGGCATAACTGGATGCCAACATGTGGAAGACTGCAAATAGATCCATATCTGTCACCGTGCACAAAACTTAAGTCTAAGTGAATCAAAGACCTCAACATAAATCCAGTTACTCTGGGGCTGGAGAGATGGCTCAAAGGTTAAGAGCACTGGCTACTCTACCAGAGGTCCTGAGTTCAATTCCCAGCAGCCACATGGTGGCTTACAACCACCTACAATTAGATCTGGTGCCCTCTTCTGGCCTGCAGGCATACATGCAGGCAGAACACTGTATACATAATAATAAAAAAATCTTAAAAAAAATCCAGTTACTCTGAACCTGATAGAAGAGAAAGTAGGAAGTAGTCTTGATCACATTGGCACCAGAGATCACTTCCTAAATATAACACCAGTAGCACAGACACTGAGAGTAACAATTAATAAATGGGCCCTCTTGAAACTGAGAAGGTTTTG